CACTTTCACTTCCGTCACGAACAGAATTTTAGGTCGCACAGATTCAATTTCACTTCCGTTACCAACAGACATTCTTGCTTATAATATAGATGTTCTTGATATTCCTGTTATTCTTGATATTCTTGATATTCCTGATATTCCTGATATTCTTAATATTCTTGATACTCCTGATGTTCTTTATATTCTTGATATTCCTGATATTCTTGACATTCTTGATATTCCTGATATTCTTGATATGCTTGATATTGTTGATATTCCTGATATTCTTTATATTCTTGATACTCCCGATATTCTGGATATTCTTGATAGTCTTGATATTCTTGATAGTCTTAATATTCTTGACATTCCTGATATTCTTGATATTCCTGATATTCTTGATATTTCCGATATTCTTGATATTCCTGATATTCTTGATATTCCTGATATTCTGATATTTTTGATATTCTGATATTCTCGATATTTTGATATTCTGAATATTATGGATATGATGGATATTTGGAATATTAAGAATATCAGGAATATCAGGTACATGAAGAATATCAGGGATATCAGGAATACCAAGAATATTAGGAAAAGCAAGAATGCCAAGAATATCGCTAAAATATTCTTGATTCTATATTCTTGATATTCTGATATTCTCAATATTCCTGATATTCTCGATATTCTGATATTCTCGATATTCTGATATTATGGATATTATGGATATTTAGAATATCAAGGATATTATTGATATGACTAGCGTATAGCCCGGCCAAGGCCGGGTTCTAGAGTTCCAGTGGGGGGTGTGCCCAAAGCGAAAAATCCGCCATACGATATTTTAAATAATTCCCAGTGGAGACTTTGTCATACTACATACATACATCAGACTGAGGGTTTGCCCAAGTCATACTGCATTTTAATTAACCTGGTCACAGTAAAATTTGATTCCCCCCTGTGGGAGTAGTTGAATAGCTAATTACTTAAATTCCCGTCGCGTGGGAGTAACTGCATAGCTAACTATTTAAATTCCCACGCTTCACGCTCCCGTTAAGTTCCATAAACCCCGTTAACTTCTACAATTAACGCCAAGCTATTGACGGATTCGGATTCAGCGTCAAAAATACATTCGAATTGATATGCGACATCACGAATAAGCCAGATTTGGACACCACGGTCACGGCGAGGTCACGGGGGCCTCGCAGGTCAAAACCATTGACGGCGTTGGATTCAGCGTCAAAAATACATTCGAATTGACATGCCACTCGCTGTGGGTAGAGTTTCTCAAACTAAAATAATTAATTAATAGTGTTTATCACGATCACTTATCATGATAACCACTATTGATGAGTGATGTATGTATGTGGGGTGTACATGTTTATGTATTCATTTATTCATGCAGTGCAGTGCATGCATGCAGTGGTTGCTCCGCTTCCTTCTTTGTCTACTGTATGGGGCAATTTGCATTGCGAAGACGGACCCAGGGACCCAGGGATCATACTAACACTTGTACACTATATATCCCGAACTCTTAGAGTTGCATATGTAGGCATGGATTAGTCGTGTTTAATTCGAAAGCATGTTAATATTTTGTATTGATTTGCAGAATGTTGTAAAGAACAATTCAATATTATTCGTACCGTGCTTTACAACATCCTGCAGATCAATAGATTATTTACATGAACCCTAATTAAACACGACTAATCGAAGCTTGTGAAAATATACGAGTTCAAGATAGATATATTTGTATGCTTATACATAAATATGCATATCAATTTTCGCCAGTATTTAAATAATTCAGTGCTTGGCCTTCAGAAATTACCATCCGTGCCGCCCACCTGTGAAATAGATAAATTTCAATGAGGGTGCATACAATTCGCTTTTTCTTCCTACCCTTAGTATTCTTCGTATCGTAAAATAAGTTAGGCCGGTTACGAGAGTTTGTTGGCGTCGTAAAATTTTGTCAACAGAAAATTCAGTTACTAAGGTTACACTGTTTCCGAAGCTTGACCCCTTTTATCTTCGTGAATCGTTTTACGATATTAAGGATACGAAGTAATCAATAATTCTCCGAATACGTACATATATATGACGTACATATATATGCTTACTTATTTTTCTTAATGTCGACTACGTAAAATATTTCCTTCGTCCATCTTTACGCTTCAAATTGAGCCATGTTCCGGTCCGAGTTTCTTCCTTTGTTAAAGATCTGGCTGCCATGTTACCACATTTTGAAATGTATTCCATTACGGCATGATAAAAAGGAGGATCGCTTAGTCGCCGTTAATTCGGTTCGACATCTTCGCATGGTTCAGTTTCAGTGCTTCTTGTGCTTCGTGTACTGCACCACAATGCTTATCAACATTTGTTTCGGGGGGTTAACCTTGATTGGAAAATTGCAAGGGTTCGGTTTCTTTTGTGTCTACCTGATGGGTTCGGTTTTGAGGTGGGATATAAAATTGGAAAACTGCTTGTTTCAAATTCTTAACACGTTTGTGCAGTTCGAAAAGGACGTGATTGAGGGTAAGGGTAGATTTTAATTATTTAGTTATTGCAAATGGGTAGGATCTCAGCATTAGTAAATACAAAATACGTAAGAATTAGTTTTAGTGAGCCCTCTAGCGACGAATAATTAACCACCACGATATATGGATGCTGAATGAAAAGCTCCAAGTCAACGTATAGATGGAGTAGGAGTTCACTCTGCGAGTTTGCCTATCTAATTACATACCACGGTTTAAGCGACATCTCAGAGTTGACTTTGAGAGTCATCCCCCTTACTAGCTTAACAAAGAGCAGAGTGCTTCTTCTATTTCTTTCTATTCTATGGTTATTACATACTTAATTATGTATGGATTTTTAACCTAGATTTCCTTCACGTTTCCCTCATTTGCTACGACGCATTACAAGAAATTGCAAAAGTGTAAGGGGCAGGGAAAACAAGAAATGATAGGCACGTAGGGCCTGACCCTTTATACCGTACCCAATGGTTAGGATCACCCGCTAGTTGGCGCGTATTTCTTGCATTTCTTGCACTCGTGTCAAAAATTATTATAAATATGCATTGGTTTCACGGCAAGCACTGAATGCAATTCGAACTAGTTTTTTACACATTTGTCCTCAGATATGTTCCTTAACGGAATTTTTGCTCCGTTTGAAGTATTCTTTGTTATATCACGTAAATTTGATTATTCACGAATTGAATCTGCTTAAACCCAGTTGACGAATATGTACATATGCACAACTTAAACGAACCTTCTGTTACATATACACTCCAGATTTCTTCTCAAAGCTTACTCACAATTGTGGAGTCAAACTGCTCAAGATACTCGTCTTTATATCGGAGGTATCAATCCGTGCAATTCCAACGTTCCAATTCGCCCTGCTGACCTACGCCCCTTGCACGCCGCCCTTCATCCTGTCCATGCTGCCATCTTGTAAAGAAATGACGGATGCTGGTGACTGGTCAGTGACCATGGTTACATTTTTGGTCCACATCTTTGAACTGTGGATGTCTTTACACATCTTATCAGCAGGAGGAATCGCGCTTATCTACGTCTTCTTACTGGGCATTGTATGTATTCTAAGCTACATAAGAATATTGGAAAGGTTGGTGAAAAGGACTTATAATTTCAAGTTAATTGAAGCAGCATTAGGCTGTGTTGCATCTTTAAAACTCTATACGGTTTAGCCAGGTCGCAAATATCGGAAACGTGTCTGCCCAAAACACATGCGAGGTGCTATACCGAAAAATTCAAGTTCTGGAGAAATCGGTGAATGCATATCTCTCGGAGAGAATCTTGCCTGCGATTATCATATGCTTACCTGCAATTCAAATCGTGTCATTGTTCGTATGCATCAATCTAAATCGAGAAATAAAAATGCCTGGATTCATCCTCTTCCCAATAATGTGGATTGACACGATGTGGGGCAACGCGATATGTTTCTCGTTGGCTTCCCTGGTGCACACGTGGTCCAAGAGGGTTCTTCGACAAATGACCAATTCAGCCATGTTCGTGGGAGAGAGGAGCTTGATGAAGAGGAAGATCCGATCCTGGTCACCGTTGAAGATTAAATTCGGATGCAACTTTGTGGATCGAAGGACACAATTGATCATTCAACATTTCTGTCTTAATCGAACCATGACGATGACGCTCGCGTCGAAACGTACATAGGAATTAACGGGGGAGATGACATTGTAAATGTGTAGAAAATAAATTACTTATTTTAAATGTGTTGGTTTATAGATTGCATCGAAATATGTGAAAATGCGACGGCATCGTTTTAATGATGGGCTTTGGCATCGTATTTACATATCATGAGTGTTCATCAAAGTCATAGCACAAAGTTCGAATTTGTCTGAATTTTCTTTCGTCGCAAGTTAAATTTTGTCGTACCTATTATGGATTCACTCCAGATTGACACCCCCGTGCTTTTCCGCTAAACCATCATTGAGCACCACATGACCAAAATCAATGTCTCGCTGTAAAGTAGGGGCGGATGTTGCCTCCCCTCACAATCCCTTAAACTCCCTTTCTCGCTGAGTTCATCACATGGAGTACATTAGCCGAATGAGCCGGATTATTTTATTATTCAATCATATGAAATTGAATAATTTAAACCAAAATAAAAATAACTGGTGTCAAATAATAAAATAATTCGGCTCGTTCGCCTAATGTACTCCATGTGATGAACTCATCCTCAGATAGCGTGAAACGGAGTTTAAATGATATAAATACCGAATATTAAGACCTATATAAATAAATGTTAAAAGTCATTTCGGCACTGAACTTATTTCTTGTATAATCTCATTTCCACTCTCCCTTTCTCACACTGGCGGGCGGTTTTCAAATTCAAACAGGGGTGTCAAGCTAGAGTGAATCCATAATATTATAAATCAGTGAAAAGTATGTCGTCAGATTTTGGATCCATTCTGGCTCATTGCGAAATGAAGTTGTAAATAAGTAAAGTAAACGAATCGGTTTGCATTCCGTAGAAATTAGCTGCTTTAACATTCAATATTAAATGCATCAGGGACAGTTATACTTTTTTAATTAAGGTATCTACCACTTGATCCTTTCAGCTTAACAATTTATTGACATAAAACAAAACAAGGGATCAAGTACGTTATACTGAATACAAGCGCAAATTTATTCTAAATTTAGTATTAATTTACGTATTATGCATATTTTCCACAAATTGTAAATCATCCAGCTCCCTCATAAAACTTGACGCTATTTCCTCCGCTTGGCCAGAGCGTGGTAGAAGGTTCTTATTTCCAAAGACACCGATTCTCAAATTGTCCCCGTACGTGATGAACCCAACGCCAAGTACTACAATATTTACGTCATATTTACATATATCAAACATTTTTACTTCATTTCAATAATTGTGGAATGAATAATATGTGACTACCTTCCCAAACCACACAAAATCCGTAAATAAGGGACATATCTTTGGCCACATAGCCACAAAAATTTGTCTCTTCTCCGGGACCGGGAACATTCCCAACAAAAATTTTTCGATAAGAGTCATTTCTATATCTTATTTGATTTAAAATTGGGCGCGGAAGGGTGCCAATAGCATTCGAGAGAACGGCTGTGGTAAAAGAGTAGGTCGATTCTTTCATGGCTGTGAGTCCCTCGTGGGTAAGAATTAGCCGTTTTACAACATCCAGTTCCCCAATGGGGGCCAAATACTTGCCATGCGTTCTGTAATCAGATCAGAATACTGTAATATGTATAGCAGGATTTAGTCTCCTTCCTATGCGTCGCTAACTTTGGGGTTATCTGCAACTGGATTTGTTGTCCAATGCTACAATTTTAGCTAAACCAAGTAAAAACTTGTATTCTCAAGGCCAGATTCCTGTACATATTCAATTATTGAGCTTTATTTGTTTGTGAATTTCTAATTTTGTGGTAGCAACGAGTTTTGAGCATGGGGCATTAAATTGCAGACAGCCTTAAATGTGGTGATGCTTAAGAATGTGTCTAAATCCTGCACATTTTTCGTCACATTTACATTATACCCTTGCCGGTAGTCAGTAACATTAGCGCCACCTAGTGTTGACCTATATTTAATAACTTACATATGATTCCCCAAAAGCCGGTCCCTTTTCCAGGGTGGGACCAAAGGAGTCTCGACTGTTATGAAGGAAGTTTCCCCTTTGGGACACAATGAGGTACGAACCGCCCCTAAAATTGCTGAATGCATGACTGCAGTTCCAGTCACACCGTGTTGTGCCCCCAATTGTCGAATCCTGCTGAACGCGATGGGTTCACTTATATGAAAAGTGTAACGAGAAGCTGCTTCAGAGGGTAAAAAGTTGTTGCTCAAAGGAATCCAATGCTAAAGAGTAAAGCCAAAGTAAAATTAATTCCTGCACATTGGTTGACTTTTTCAGAAGTCACATCAAATATTAGCTGGTCGCCGTCTCACCTTTCCATCCTTGGCAAGACATCCACTTCGGGACGTTTCACGACATGTCTCCACAAAGTCGTAAGGCATTCCCAAATACCAAATTGGCGATATATTCCCGGGCTTCTTGGATATTTCCTTGGTTAATTGTACATTTTGGGGTTGCACCATCTTGTTTAGGAGATGGAAGCTGCCAACGCCATCTACTAAGGTGTGTTGGAATCTGATTAATACTACCGTGGTGGGTGGTTCGTCTGAATTGTTTTTCCTACGAACGAGTAAAAGTTCCCACAAGGCCCCATTTTGCTTGTAAGGTTGGTGTACTAACTGTGCTTTAAAGTTGAGCAGTTCATCATGAGTCATAACTGAAAGTGAAATATGCATATATGTTACTGGGAATTATAAAAAGTGAATACCGTCAAATAAAAACATCTAAGAAATGTTCTGTACAAGTGGAAGAAATAAGAGGCACATGACGAAAAATTTCTATAATTAAGAGTAGTACACAGGTAACTCGCTAGGTGTCGGGTTACCTATGTGTTTTTAGGGTCAATTTAATACATTTCTCAAAACTGTAATTCACCTTCCTTAATGGTCCTTACGGGGTCCTGCATCGTGGTGGCCTTAGCCCAAAACGAAAACCCAAAAAAATACTTGATCCTGCTCCCAAGTTCTGGATACACTAAGGCGCCATTTTCACTCCTTAGTGAAAGTACCTGGGTCTTTAAAGTCTCCCTGATGTGGTCAGGATCGACTTCCCCTTCCAACTCCAGATGTCCTACCACCGTACTTGCGGGACACGTGTGGATTCGATCATATGAAAATATTGCGTCGCCAGGTGTCAGCATGTTTGTTAGATCGGGTCTTAACTATGAAAATAATCATTTCTATTTAAAAATCTAATTTTTGAACTCGCTAAGGGGTGGGTGCAGTTTTATCCTTGGAAACGTTTTCAAACATTTAGTTACCTTTGTCCCCCGCTACCTCCGCAATTAAGTAGTGGAATAATCGCTTAAAATTTTCTGACAGTCTAAACATACCCAAGTCTAAAACAAAATATTCCTAAATGTTCTGTCGGTGAGAAATTTAGAGTTTCGTAAATAATGGAAAATTCAGTTTGGGAACAACCACTACGCAAAAACTAGTAGTCCCAAAATTTTGCAGATTATGTCAAAATCAAGACAATTTAGTAGCGAAGGGCATATGTTTAACCAAAAAGCCCCCCAACTCATTTAAAAAATCATATAAAGCAAATCAAGGGGAAAAGGCCTGGTTTTTAAGCAAGGTTTGCTCTATAAGATTTTTTACATGCGTTCAGGGGCTTTTTGATTAACTAACACATTCCCTCCGCAACTGAATTGTCTTGATTTTGATGTACAAAGACTGCAAAACTTTCGGACTTCTCTTTTTACAATGTCAGAAAAGCCTACGTGATTTCTACTACTTAATCGCGGGGTCTGGGTCAAGCTAACCAAGAATTTGAAACATTTCTAAAGGTGAAACTATACCAGCCCCTTAACCCGAAAATTCAGTATTTCCAAATTCGAACTTGGTACATTAAACTACAATGTTTTTTTAATTTATAATATAATTCCTATTTTACCAGCAATGCGATGAGTTTGACCAGACATCGATAAACGTAGAAAGGAAACCACACCAAAATTAAGGGGGGCACAAGCAACCACAACGGAAGGTAGAGGGTAACAAGAAAGGCTGAAGGTTTCTTCATGGCGAAGATGTGGCCTGAGAAGGATTCGGACAATGAGTGAAATTTAATTTCAAAGACGCATACTTTATACAAAGCGAATGGAAAAAGCTAGAAATCGCCAGGGTGCAAAAACGAAAATGTTACGAAATACATCAAGTAGAGGATGTTATCCAGTGAAAAATTCATTTTAAATGCAACCAAATTGCGTTAATTTTAATCCATTTGAAAAACTTCTGTACTGTTCATCTTTTAAACAAGTTCATGCATTTGTAAAATAAGAAAATTTAAAATACGAAAATTTTCAAATGAATAAAAATACCAGAAAATCGAGATTGGTAACCCTGTTAGTGAATAATTGGCGTCTTAAAAATCCAATACTGCGATAATATGTAGATTAATTGATAGGAGATAATTACGCTTAAATTATGTACCTGACCCACCTCAATTATTTCATCGAGTGTATCAATTGATGCAACATTAAGCAGAAACCTGTTTATGAGCATATCGTTAAATGTGGTTCTGTTCTTCATTGTATCTGCATACATATTACAGTATTAGATTTCACGGGATCGCTGATCATGCACTCAAAACTTGATAGATTGATCCAGTGACCGCGGAAGTTGTGGGGATATTTGGGGACACTAAGATTTAAGGATAGGGAAGGGAGGGGTTTATGTATATAGCATGAGCAGATGATGGGGACATCAAGTCACGGAAGGGCCCCCACCCTTCCGCGGCCAATTTCTAGACGAAAACGTACGCAATGTACGTATATGCACGTGTATTTACATATTGATGTATGCACATGTACACTGTTAAAAATCTGGTGAAGTAACAATATATAGGTACTCCGTATTGATTTAGTTAAACCATTCTACCGGATTTGTATTAGTTTGTTTCTCCCTGGTAAATTTTTCATAACCAAAAAATGAATATAAAACATTACTAAGCATTAATGCCCGTTATTACCTGTGCCGATAGAGTCACATACATATGTACTCCAGCCGGTAAGAAATTAATACCAATTTTCTAAGAGTGTATTGATGAACACTTCGATTTAGATGTCACAAATATACATAAGTAAATACATATCTAGTTAAGTGAAAAGTACCTGAGTAAACTCTATAAACTTTGCCCATACTAACGACAATCGATTGCACTTACCGATTTTTAATTTAATTAAATATAATATGTATGTATGTCATATATACGTATTTACATATGTCTATAAATGTCTATGGTACAAGATTGTCATTTTCCAAATAAACGCGATGTAACAAAAGGGTGAAACTCATCCATCCTAATCGATCCCTTCGTTACACCAGTGGTTAACTCGAACCAATTTTATGGATGCGTCAAAGGAAATGTTGAAGCTTTATCACTTTATCTTTACGACATCTCGATTTCATTCGGAGGGGGGCTGGCTTGGCCTATTCATAGCACAAATAAATGTGTAACTGTTTTCGAACTGAATCTCCTACTCAAGGGTTGCAGAGCTTGTAACCGCCTTTGGCATCCGATTCCTACCAAAAGTTATGTACCATTCCGACTTCCAGTACCCCCTTCCGCCCAAAATTTTCGTTTATTACTCAATTGTCTTCTTTTAAAATTTTGTGTAAGGGCTGACATTAATTATTTACACTCACAGAGTGTGTTCTCTGTGTAGAAGATCCGACTCATCACCACCAGAGTTACATATGTATTTGGTGAGAAGGATCGTAACGGATTGCAAACCAGATGCATAATATGATATCATTGATATCTAATGACGTTAAAGGATAATTTTCATTTACATATTTTGTTTTCATTACAGAACAAAAATAAAATTACAAGAAGTCTCAAAATTAAAAACTTATGGCAAAGTTTAAGTTATTTAGCTTACCTTTTATTTGTCAGCATTTAACTTATGTTACATAATTATGGCAAATAATTAAAATTATAGTAAATAATTTTTAATTATGCTAAATAATTTATGTATGCATAAGTATCCTAAGTTTGTTTATAAGTATATACTGCAGTATGTAAATATTTAACCCAAAATAAACCATTTATATATCTGTAATTTACTCTGCAACTGTAGGATTTCCAAGATTCACATTCTCTCGAATGGACACCCATAAATTAGACATATAAATTGGAGGATTCATATGTTGTCCAGTCATCCCCATAAATAGGTTAAGATTTCGCACTGACTTATTTATTGTCCTTCAGGTTCGATCATAAAAATCAGTTTTTTATGCGTTGGACAGCAACAAAAATTAGACAAGGTACATATGTATGCACACTTTCAACAAAAATAGTGTTACGTAAATTTGCATCGGGTACATCATAAAACGAATTTTTGAGTCTATGCGTGACCTGAAATAAATATAATTATAGATTATGTTGACGTCTTCTTTTTCGATTCAGTCTTATCTTTAGTCCTTAAGGCGATCACTTTAAATATACTTTTCTTCTTTCACGTAATATGTAAAGCTTGGTTTACAGGTCATCAACTTGCCCAAGAAATAAATTAACGTGAAAATTTCACAAAAACTACAAAATATAATCAGTGCAGAATGGAATGAATTAATTTCATGCAAATTCCATAACTCAATTTACACGTAAGCATTTATTTATTTAAGTGAAGCATATAGTAGCGACGATAATTTTATAGCTTTTTCTAGCTTAATTTGAAAAATTTATTGTTGTCCTTAAACGTTGCCATACTTGTCGTTTTTTTACCTTTTTTATGACCTGAAAGCTAGATTTCACGCGTGCAATATCCATAATGGGTAAGCATTGCGCGCAAATTTTATAAGCTTTAAGTGGAACTTTACTTGAGTGAAAATTACTCATTATTTTCATCCTTGTCATGAAAATGAGTTAGAAAACTTAGCGTGAAATTTTCAAAGATGATTTCATGTAAAAAGCAAGACCTATAAACTGCGCTTAATGGAATAGTAAGATTGTACTTAAAACAATGTTACGATATGATGCCTAAATATAGTCTAGACAAGGTAATAATTTTTTTGCCAGAATTCGTCCAAGTTAAATACATAAATAATAACTTGATCAACTTAGGTACATAAATGCCTAATAAACAAGTTTTATTTGGCTTACGATCTCCCCCATTAATTTTAATTCGCATACGATACGATCTCCCCTGTTAATCCTTACGTTTTGACGCGAACGTCATCGTCATGGTTCGATTGAGGCAAACACGATCAGTGGTGTCCTTCGATCCACAAAATTGCAACCGAATTTAATCTTCAACGGTGACCAGGATCGGATCTTTCTATTCATCAAATTCTTGTCACCCACCAACATGGCTGAACTGGTCATCTGTCGAAGCAACCTCTTGGACCACGTGTCCACCAGGGAAGCCAACGAGAAACATATCACGTGTCCTCACATAGTATCAATCCACATTATCGGGAACAGGATGAAGCCAGGCATCCTTATTTATTCTTGTAAATTGATGTATATGAAGTTCGTATTACGAACAATGACATAATTTGAATGGCAAGTAAGCAAGAGATATGGGGAAAATGGAGAAATATGCATATATCTGTATGAAAACGCAAACGGTAATGTATTTTGTCTATAGTTCTAATAGCATGAAACAAAATGTTTGCAAAATGTCTATTTTTTATTATAGTTGATAGTACATATGTATCTAGGTACTATATGTATATACATATTTCTAGTCGAGCTCGACGCAAACCAATTTGCTGGCGCAGTTTGTTCTAATATTTCGACGGCGTCAACTCCGAGGACTCCGCATTTTGAAAGAATGCGGCGACGTCAGCCACTGATTTTTAAATCCTTGCCCACCCTAGCAAATTGGGGCACAATCCTCAATTTGTAAGTCATCTAGCTCCTGCATAAAAGCACGTGTAATTTCTTCTGCTTGGCCACTGCGGGGAAGAAGGTTCCGATTTCCAAAGACACCAATTTTCATGGTATCTCCGAACGTGATTATGCCGAAGATTATGCCTGTGCAAACATGGAACATACGCATCAAAAAATTAGAACCTTCATAAACATATTATCAGAGCTGGGTGACTATTTGTTTTTGAAGGTGGATTAAGAATTATGGATTAACCACAAAATAATGCGGATTGTGATTAAATTATTTTGGTGAGCTTAATTCACTTCTGGATTAATCCATATATTCTGGTAATTTCTGGATTAGGGATTAATGATCCTTAATCAGGATTATCCCAGCTCCACATATTACACACTATAGCCCAAATTCAACCAGGCACCAAAGTAGACGGTGCTTCACATGATAAATTGAAGAATCTAAGAAAATTCTGAAAAGCTTACAATTTTTGTGAATGTAGCGCTAAATAATTTGTAACTAAATAAATTTGCTAATTAAATGACAAATTTGGTAAAAATATTACAGGGTATCAGATCAAATTTTTATTTTGCTAGCAAACAAATGAGGTGCTTCTGGGTTGAATCTGAACGAATGATTTATTATTTAGTCAATCTATGTATAGTCAGTATTTTTAAGAAATCTGTGAATGAATTATCAAATTTTAATTGACGGAATTATTCAGTAAAAAATTATCTATGGCCCGTTAACGTTCTGGTTCTGGAAGCACACTTACAATTTTAAACTTCACGTGTGAACCGATATGTACTTACTTACTTATGGATGGTTGTCCTGTCGAATTTGAGCTATAGTGTAATATGTAAATATGCAAGAGTGACAATTGTCATAAATTACCCGAATAAGTTGCGCAAAAGCCGGACATTAAAGACACGTCTTTTGATTGGTACCCACAAAACTTTGGTTTTTCCTCAGGACCGATCATATTCCCAATAAAAATCCTTTCATGTCCTTCATGAAGCTTGTTAATTTGTTTCAAAATGGGACGCGGGAGGCTGGACAGGGCGTTCGAAATTAGAGCTGAGGTAACAGGGAAGGTTGATTCCTTCATGCCCCTGAGTGCCTCGTGAGTACGAATTAGCCGTTTTCGAGCATCCACTTCTCCTATGGCTGCCGTGTACCTGCCGTGCGTTCTGTGGTCAAAATAATGTCATTAGGACTACAGACAGAGCGAGGTCTCATATGGGTTTTAGAAGACCGATGTTAAACCATTACCGGGCGGAGTACATGCATTTATGTATGACTCTACCGGCACTGATACTTAATAAACCGTTACAACGCATGTAACCAAGGGGTGAAAGGAGTGTCATACGTCAATGTGAATATCAAATTGTTCGAAAATTTGTTAAGATTGACACTTCTGACGTGTTTTCGACTTTTGTGTCTTATTTGTGTCAAATTTAACAGTTGATAACCCTTATGTGACCTTTATATGACCTCTGAGGTCAAAATGGAGGTCACCATTGAATTCGGGGTTAAATTTCAGTTGAAATTGAAATAGATATGTCCTATGACCTTTACATGACCTCTGAGGTCAAAATGGAGGTCACCATTGAATTTGACATTGAAAAATAGTTAAAAATGATGTGTCACATGTCAAAACTGACAAGTGACACTTTTTCGTCACTTTTCGTCACTGTGACGATGTCATCGTCACAGGTGACGTCCAAACACAAAATGACCTGAATTTTCGAATTCCTCGTTGAAAATTAGTTAAAAATGATGTGTCACATGCCAAAACTGACAAGTGACACTTTTTCGTCACTTTTCGTCACCGTGACGATGTCATCGTCACAGGTGACGTCCAAACACAAAATGACATGAATTTTCGAATTCCTCATTGAAAAATAGTTAAAAATGATGTGTCACATGCCAAAACTGATAAGTGACACTTTTTCGTCACTTTTCGTCACCGTGACGATGTCATCGTCACAGGTGACGTCCAAACACAAAATGACATGAATTTTCGAATTCCTCATTGAAAAATAGTTAAAAATGATGTGTCACATGTCAAAACTGACACGTGACACTTTTTCGTCACTTTTCGTCACTGTGACGACGTCATCGTCACAGGTGACGATGTCACAGTGTCCATCTTCGAACTCGTCCTGTCCATTGACGTTAGGAGTTTACGTTCAAAATTTCAAGTGTCTATGTCTTTTCGTTCAAAAGTTATCGGAGCTACGGACAGACAGACGGACGGACGGACGGACGGACGGACGGTCGGACGGACAGACGGGCGGACGGACAGACAGACGGACATAACGATCTTATAAAGGGCTTTCACCCCTTAATAACGGGCATTACTATTTGGTAATGTTGTAATAATAAAAAAATTACCACTCAGAAACAAGCTACCAATCCGGTAAGAAGTATTACCAAATCAATTCCAGTACGGAGTATGTATACATGTATGACAAATGACTCTACCAGATTTTTAAGCGTGCAACATATTAGTGTTTACGTACTTACACATTGTTTCCGAGTAGTCGATCCCTTTTCCAAGGTGGTAAAAGGGTTGTCTCTACTCTTACTGTTGTCGAACTTGACGCCACATGTGCAAAAAATGAGCTGCGAACCGCACCCAAAATTGCGGAATGCATAACCGCTGTTCCACTAACACCATGTCGCACCCCTAATTGCCGAATGACACTAAACGGGATTGGATCACTGATGTGAAAACGGACATGAGAAGCTGCTTCAGACGGTGAAAAGGTATCGCCCAAAGTTGTCTGAATCTAAACATTAATTAAAAAAATTTAGACCAATGTATCATTTAACCAACATATTTTTCTAACATATATCTACGAGCTGTTACCTTCTTATCTTGAATGAAACTCCCAGCTCGGGATTCTTCATGACACGTGTGCAAAAAGTCGTACGGCATTCTCAAATACCGAATTGGCGAAACGAGTTTCGTGCACATTTCCTTTGTTAATTTTTTACTTTTGGGTGTAATCATTTTCGTTAGGAGATGAAACATACCAACGCCATCAAATAAAGCGTGATGGAATCGAAACAGCAAGACGGATGTTGGTGTATTGTCTGGAACCATCCGAATTATCACTAGATCCCATAAAGGTTCATTTAATTCGAAAGGCTGGAACGTCAACTTCGTTTGAACATCGGTTAGTTGATCAATCGTTATATCTGGTATGCAAATTTCAGTAACAAAATAAACCGTCGCAAACGCGCATACGGAAGTAGCTTCAGACGTACTTCACCCCAAACGGTCCCACCACAACTCGGGAACACTTAATTTCACTCTATTTCACCTATAGATTAATTTTTTGTAAAAATCTCATTTTGCCCCGACCACACCCCCTGGCGACGAGGGGGTGTGGAACAACTCGGGAACACTTAATTTCACTCTATTTCATCTATTGATTAATTTTTTATAAAAATCTCATTTTGCCCCAACCACACCCCTGGCACCTAGGGGGTGTGGCACAACTCCGGAACACATAATTTTACTCTATTTCACCTATAGATTAAATTGCACTAAAAATCTCATTTTGCCCCAACCACACCCGCTGGCGCCGAAGGGGTGCGGCAAAATCGGGGAAACACTCAATTTCACTTAATTTCACTTAATTTCATTTAATTTCACTCAATTTCACTTAATTTTACCCATAGAATAAATTGCACTAAAAATCTCATTTTGCCCCAACCACACCCCCTGGCGCCGAGGGGGTGTGGCACAACTCCGGAACACATAATTTTACTCTATTTCACCTATAGATTAAATTGCACTAAAAATCTCATTTTGCCCCGACCACACCCCCTGTCGCCAAAGGGGGTGTGGTCCGGTTGCCCCCAAAAGTTGATAGGATCCTCCCCCTGGGGTCCTATGTATGATGGCGAAAACCGATTTCGATTATCTCGATCCGTTCTCCTGATATCCTGCTGACAGACAGACAGACAGACAGACAGACAGACAGAGTCTTCACATAAAGTAGCTGAAGCTACTTAATAAAGACACTGTGAGTTAAGGTGCGAGCACTAAGGTTTTCGTTAGCGCAGATGAGGGTTAATGCGAAACTTTCAAAATGTATGTCCAAATTAACGCCAACGTAAAAATTCCCGAGAAATTTGAATTGTGTCTCATGTTGCACTTGAAAGATTGAACGTTAACATGAAAACCTTATCCTCTGAAAAAATCTGCTTTTTAAAGTAGAAATAACGGAAGGTCTTAAAAGAATCATACATTCGGCGTGGTTCAAACTTGGCGGGAGTAAAAATTTAGCGTTAACGTCAAAATTTTAATGTGATAACGTAAATTCGCAATCTCCCTATTATATATTATTAGCATTTATGCAAGCCGGAGGTCACCTTTAAGTATCCGAACCCGATCCTCAGGTTGAATGGCCTTAGCATAAAAGGCAAATCCAAGAAATTGTTTTACTGTCCACCCAAATTCCGGATATAATAACTTGTCACCATCTTGCGGCTCCCTTGCATGTAGGATCTGAGTTTTAAAAGTCTCCCTGATATGATTTGGATCAATCTCCCCCTCCAATTCCAGACGTCCAACCACCGTACTTACGGGACACGTGTGGATTCGGTCATACATAAATCTTGCATCACTAGGCGTCAACATCGTCGTCAGATTAGGTCGTAGCTATCCAAAAAATAAATCATAAACCGTAAATAATAGGAGAAAAAACTACACCCGCTGAGCAACCATAATGTTCTACGGTAGAACTTCTACCTTTGGGTAATGTTTAAGCAGACGTTTCGTCACCAATGGAAAATAAATCAAAAACCGTGCCAAACCGATGTGAAGTAATTATGTAAAAAAATCAAAACTTTCATGCAAAAAAAATATTGTCATAAAAGATAAGAAAAATTATTCATTTTTTAAAATAACGAAGTCATATTTACATATTAAGTATCTCCTAGGTACATGAATTGTTGACTTACTTCCCGTTGGTAACAAAACGTGTGCTTAATGATCACCCAAAGAAGGAACAATATCTTTAATACCTACCCGGGTTATGATTTGTCTCCGACTTATAATTACATATACACTTATGTACAAAGTGTAGTAATTATACATATGCTAACTTTTGTTAAATGTGTACGAATGTTTAAAAATTTCTTATGCATATAAATATTCAAAATCGGCGGTGAACCAGATCATTTCTAGTTTTTTAACGAATTACAAATTTTTACAAAAGGCGTTAGGACATGGTTTTGACGAATTCGCGGTTGAATATCTCTGGCGGGGAGTTGAATTTTGAACTGATTTTTGGTCAGTTGCAAGATAATACTCTCAAAAAGATATATTTAAAATTTTGGGCCGATAGCTTTATAAATGCCCCCTCCAGTGCCCCCAGAGTTTGAAGGAGCCAAAAAAACACTTTCCAAACTGAATTACTCATATAGCATGATAACCTAAGAGGTCAGAGGTGAATGATTGTTAATATTACAACCCTAGATAATCATTGCATGTAATAATAAAAGAATCCACAATGAATTACATAACGTTGGGCCTCCATCGTCGCTGATACGTTTTCATGAAAAGTGATCAATCGGACCGTGCACAGGAAAATTGACCTGCTGACCTTTAAAGCGGACCCACTAGGTCAAATGAAGATTGAGGGCAAAGCTCTAAGTGTCTCAAGTAATATTAAATTAAACAGTGAAGATTTTGTGTAAACAGTTTTGGAGAAGGACCCTAGCTAATCAGCTGACGGGGAATAGTAAAAAACTCGTGAACTAATTTAGGAAAATAATGGTCAAATTTTGTTGAAAACAAATTTTAATAACTTTTTTGTGTTCCCTGCTGCAGAACTATTTTACCTACAAGGTACAAGTGACAAAATAATAAAATTACTGCGTTTTGATTAGTTAAAAAAATTTAAAGTTCCGCTTCAATTTCGAGGAGAACTTTTGTAAAAATTTTATAGGGTTTGATGGAAACTCATTTCCTGGGGTGTAACCACTTATCAAAATTTTATCAAAAGTACTTACAATGCAACATACAATTTCTACCTTGGATAAAAACCACGTTAGGGATTTTTAGCATCAAAGTCCTAAAATGTGGGGGCCTTTAAAGTCGAGGAGTTGCGTTCAAGAGAGCATTCCATTAAGGAGGGGAGCTTGCGAGGTTGATAATAACAGATCTTGATGCCCTTTGGATATGTGGTAGGGACCCATGAGTGTACTAAAACCCTGAAGTGGTTTGACTCCATGGCCACATTTACGCCCGGCACACCCACTCAAAAATGCCCAAAAAACGCTTTCACTCCAGTTTTCACTCACTCAAATCCACGCCAAAAATCCAATTTTACTCGGATTTTGAAATTTCTTTCACCAATATACTCCCCGATAGTTGCGTTCTTCAATCCAATATCAAACTCAATTTTGCTGATTATTATTTCGCAGGCATAATTTGCCTTGTTGATTGCTACAACAATGCTCATTCAGAAATTTAAATTTTAAAAATACTAAAAATTTCGAAAAAATTGAGTTTGATATTGGATTGAAGAAAGAAACTATCTGGGAGTATATTGGTGAAAGAAATTTCAAAATCCGAGTAAAATTGGATTTTTGGCGTGGGTTTGAGTGAGTGAAAACTGGAGTGAAAGCGTTTTTTGGGCATTTTTGAGTGGGTGTGCCGGGCGTAAATGTGGCCATGGAGTCAAACCACTTCAGGGTTTTAGTACACTCATGGGTCCCTACCACATATCCAAAGGGCATCAAGATCTGTTATTATCAACCTCGCAGGCTCCCCTCCTAAGACAAGTATGAAGCTAGACTACAAAAGGGACTTAAAAGATAAGCATGATACAAAAGTGGTTTTATATAGTGAAAAGCATGCTAAGTCCCTTGATAATAGTCGCAAAGACGATTTTTGCACCAGGACCTCAGAAAAAAATATTTTGTTCAACGCCATTTTATAAGAACACTGGTTTGGAAAACTAAAAAAGGACACCTCTCCAAATTTGACCTTGCCTCATTTCGCAGAGTACACAAAATCGGAAGCCAGATATGCTTACCTATAGTTTGAGACATGGGCTTTCACATAAAAATGTTAGAAATCTCTACAACTAAAAACCATCCCGCAATTAAGGTATGAATTCGTCAAAACCATGTCCTAACGCCTTTTGTATTTATTTATGCACATAATTTACTCGTGCTTTACCAGCATTGCGACAAATTTTACGAGATAGCGATAAACGTAGAAAGGAAGCCAGGCCAAAATTAAAGGGGGTACAAATAGCCACAACGGGAGGTAGAGTGTAATCAGGAAGGCTGAAAATTTCTTCATGGTGAAGATGCAGCTTGGCAGAAATTCAGACAAGGACTGAAATCTAATTGCAGAGATACTTTCTTAATTTCAGATGAATACAATTAAATCACCTGAAAACCAGGGTTGCAAAACGAAAACATTTATTGCACTGCAAAATGCAGCAAATAGGATATTTCCCGAAGATGGAGACATTTTAGATACAGTCAAATTGTACTAATTTAAATCCTTTCGTCGTACTATGCTACATATGCATATTTTTAAAACTTCATGCATTTCTAAAAAAAGTACGTCCAACATATTATACAGATTTTTAAAAAATCTGGAAAGATAAAAACACCAAAAACACTTCTTGGTAGGGTTGCCGCGGGTAGCGAAAATGCTGCCCGTTGCCCGACCCGCTACCCGCAGTCCAACTACCCGTACCCGCACGGGTACCCGTACGGGTAGCCGTTACCCGTTATGAGAATCAAGTTAAGTACCAACTAACGTCCAAAATAAAATCGATTTTATTAATTTATTGCTCTTTTAGGTTGATAAGTACATAGTTGGAGATGATGCTTTCAAAATAGTTTAATAAGCTAGATGTCATTAGTTGTTTCTGAAACTTTTTGTATAGCATGATTTGTTGAAATTTTGATTTAAGCGACGTTTTCATTAAAAACTTCGTAAACAAACAGAATTTTTGCTTTCAATTTGATTTGCGTAAGTTGGTTTTGTCATCAAACAATGTGAGTCACATCACATATTAAGAGATTGTCAGTTCGGCCTAAATACATGCATGTAAGAGTCAAATTAAAGCTGAAATTTAGGAGCAGGCTAGTTATACTTAAGAACAAATAATTTCGGCGCATATCCCGGAATTAAAATGAAACCTTTTTTCATGTTACACTGGAATTTCCCAACGAGTTGTATAAAAAATCGAGCCAAACATTAAAAATAAACTCACACGTATGTATGTATCA